TATTTAATGAAACAATGTTCTGTATTAACGTCATATGTAAATTAGATAATAAGAAAATATGCAGAGTAAACTTTAAGAGAAATAGTGATTTATTGTATAAAAAAATTAAAAATTTTTTTGTAATTTCCTTAGGGATTTTCAAATGTTTGTCGATTAATTTGTTAACTAGTATAACTTACGGCACATAGTGCTATATGCAAATTGTCGGATCAGTCGACGAGGTGGCAAAAAAAGACTTTTGAAATTTGTAAGTTTTAGTTTTTTAAAATCTGCAGAGTTTATCTTGTTTATGTAATAAAATGTAGAAAAGGTTTTGTTTTTAACCTGTAAAGTTAAAATTGTGATAAAAAATTGATATTGAAAATGTTAAAAACCTAAGTGCAGTCTGATTTCTGCTGTGTGTGCAGTGTCCATGCTGAAGTGAGGTATGGTTTACTAAGAATTTATGTGAGTTTTTTGGTTTTTATTTGTGTCCTGTAAAATATTTTTATATATATTTAGTTAGCTGAAGAGGGGCTGATGCCCGAAATGTTGATGTATGGAAAAAACGTTCTAACTAAATAAAAGATTCAACTAGCCCAGTGTTGAAAAAAACGTCACTTCATTGTGCCTGTACACAATGCACATGAGCATTGTCATTCAAAATGACAGGGGGGTTCTGCAGAAAGTATTTCCACTTTCCTCTCAAAGCTGGCCACAGATTATGTTCCAAAAATGCATGTTTAGAGTCTGACCTGGGGCATTCACTTGTTCTTCACTTGCATGGGGATGATCTGGATGAGGCTTATTTTCTCATCTGTGCCTCTCTCGTTGAAGGCTTTTGCCCATCTTGTTATTGTTCTACATGGTAATGCAGATTTCCCATAAGCCTCTAAGAGACCTTAGCAACACTGTTGTGCATTATGATCTCTGGCACTTTCAATCTTTATCCAACTTAACTATTACAATTTTGAGAAACTCATGACTAGACTGGGCAATACAACAGATCGGATTATCAACAGATCTTGTCACTGCTCAGCACGTGGAGTTGAATGGTACAGTCTGTTTGCTCTAAGATAAGGAATGTATGTAACCAACATCTGGTCTAGGTGGCATTAGCTGGTTGCATTGCATTGGGTTTCTATAGCATTGTTGCTACTATTAAATTTCCAAACCAAGTAGTTGAAGTTGTTCACATTACTTCAGGCAATATTAAATTATAACAACCAAATTAACAAGCTACATTGGATTTGTGGATTTATTATTTACTTAACAAGATGTAAATGGTATAGAATTTATGCATGAAATACAATTTTTATGTAATTTTGATAAAGTGGTAACTTCAGCTCCAATACTTTCAGATTATTACTTACAGTTATTTAATAATTCATTTCTGAATAATAGCAATGGTCAGTTTCTGTCACTACAGCAGAATAGTCATTTCCAAAATTAAAAATAATTGAAAATTATTAAGATTATAGTATGGTTTAGATGTGACTAGAAAATTTTGTTATCATTTCAATATGAATAAAATATTTGAGTATGTCGTAATCCTTTATCAGATTAGAAATTGAAATTAAAAATCAAATTATGTATTAAATTCTGTAGATATTGTAGACAAATTCTCTATATTTAGATACAGTAAAATTTTATTCTTTTGAACAGAATTACCACATTTTTATTTTTTATAGTATTGAGACTTTCCATTTTTATAGTCAATAATATCCCTATAAGAAATGATTTTGGGATAAATGCTTTGTTTTCTAAACTTTTTTTCTTTAAATGAGATAAGAAAATGTTTAAATTATTGTTTATTATAATTAAGAAAGTATTTATAAATCAGTAAATGTTTTCCTCACTTTTCAAATCTTGTTTTGTGTAAGACTAAAAATAAATAAAACTGATAAATGAAACAAGCACCATATTTATTATAATAAACAGTGCTTTCTAATAGTAAGTGTTCTCTAATTAAACAACACAGCTGCTAGATAAAAAGTCACAGTCTATAATATTACATGCACTGTCTATTGGAAGAAAATAAGGCTTATTGTAAACTAAAAATTGCACTTTCTGTTCTGAATTGCTACTTTTACTGTATGTTGAAATAAAATGTGTGTTGAATGTTGCATTGTTGTTCAAATAACAATAAAATGAAAATGTTTTCTGAATTTATTGCATTAATATCTGCACCCAATTCCCAAAGGATATAATATCCACTCTCTATTAGCAAGTACACTTTAATAAGCAGCACAGCTGTAAGATGAAATTAGTTCTAGACATCATGCTGTTTATTAGAATAAATATTGTATTTACTAATTTAGAATCTAGGAATTAAGATATTTTTGTCAAAATCATTTTTAAATTATTTCTAGCTACCATGCTACTTCTTAATTCATCAATGATTAATTTCAAATTTATTTTTAAACTCAAACTTTTTGAAAAATGATAGTAATATTCAAATATTGTGAATAATTCAGTATTATTGTCAAATAAAATTCAATTAATAAAAAATAAGCATATATATATATATATATATATAAACAGTGTATAAATCAAAAATAAACTCATTTGCAGCCTTACTTTTAGGAGTTCAGACTTTGAAATGATAACTTTAACATTTTCAGATCAGTATACAATCCATCTTCAGAAACTATAAATAATGGATACTTTTAAAAATTTCTTTTTCTTCCTTCTTTGCTATCAGCAAGAATATTTGATTCAAAATTCAAGTTTCACATACTTCAAATAATATTTACATACATTTTAAATGAATTAAAAAGAAAAAAATTTACTATTTACACAGCTATAATTTAAACAAAATTTCAAATACTGTAACAAAAAATTTTTAAAATTATAAAAATGAGATTAAAAATGATTTTTAAAAAATTAAGAAAGGTTTCTTATATAAATATGTATGATTTAAATAATCTTAAATGCTAAAAAAAATTTTATTTAATGATTTAATGGGTTTATATTTAATTGGTTCTTTCTCAACACTATATAATGTATGAGAAAAGTTAACAGTTATTTTCTTAAAATAGCTGTTTATGCCAATAAATATCAAATGTATTATACTATATTATTTTTTAAAATAGTTAAATTATATTCATATTGTTGATTGTTTGTCAAGAATTGAAGGCATTCCCTTAAACAATATATAATTTACATTAATACTTTTTTCCATCCTGATATATTCTATAAATTCATTAAAATTTGTTTATTCTAATATTTTTAAATTTAAAAAAGTTTATATAGTTTTGTAAAGTAGTCTGCACTATCAATTGTAAACATTTTCTTTTTTATTAATATTACTTTTTACTTCTTTGTTTTCCAAATATATACTTGCTATCTCAAAGAAATAGGAAGATGGAATTTATGTAATAATCAATCACTATTCACAGAACATAATTTTTTTCTTAAAGTTACTTTTTTAATTTTCCTCTTTCTAAAATAGGTTAAATTATTTTAAACAAATTTATCAGTAATTTTTATTTTAGCCACACTGTGTTTCCATAATTATTATTTCTAGTTGTACATCATTTTATGTAGAAGTGTAAGGTTATGGTGAACAGACTAAGAATAGTGTGCTTAACAGTTGACAGTTTATTAAATTTTAACTAACTCTTTGGTGCACATCTGTTTCTAAATCTCTTCCATGAGATTTAGAAACAGATCAAATTGGAAATGCACTGTACAACAATTAATTAACCAATAATAAATTTGTTAAATGAACAAGCAATTATTTATTGTTATAGTGCCAAGCTGCAATTTTTAATCATATTTTTAATTTATTTCATTTAAAATATATTCTCTCCGCCTCAAATTAGCAGTGACATGTCCCTGTACATCATACTTTTCCTTTAACAATAGAGTTGTACCAGTCATCGATCTAACACCTTTCAGGAAAAAATTTTGAATTGAAATAACATGACTTCTGGTTTGCATCGTATGTTCTTATAGAGTTAATCGGGGCCGCCTTCCCCTAACTTTCCATATCTGGTCTCGTCTTTCATCTATCTAAATCCATTCTCGGGATTAAGGAAAGACGGATAGACAAATGACAGTGGGAATTTATAGGTCTACAATTTTTACAAATTGCAGCCGAATTACTAACTTATGTTTATAGTTGTTCCTAATAAATTATTATTGAACATGATTTTCTGTAATTTTTCATACTTTAAAGTGTCAAAAATGGCATATAAACTATCATAATTTTCAGATGAAAGAATATCTAGAAATGACTAAATTTATCTAACATTATAAGAAATTCATAAAAGACATTATTTTAATATATAAAAAAAATACACTAGCAAATGTAAACAAATAAAGTAAATATTAAAAATAAAAATGATAAACACATATGATACAATAAAAGGTAAAATAATTAAATTAAATTAAAATATCTGGCATTTTAGTTCACAAAAAATAAATATGATATCTATAAAGTGCAAATATGGTGGAACACCATTTATATGTCTCACATTTGTACCTCAGTTTCCATCGATTCATAAATCTCTCTATTCCTCTCAATAGTGAAATATTTTGTTTATACATCTAAATTTATTACATGACTTCATTTATATTCAATGAAGATAACAGATACTGCTTATTCTTTTGGAATATTGCAATATTCTTTTGGATAAATGTACTCAAAATTTCTATAACACATTCTTTATTCAATTTTTTCATCTTTTGTTCATACTCCCATAATTAAATTACATAAAATTGACTACAGCAGGTGTGTTACTCCCAGAGAGGAAGTATTTGCATTAAATTACTGGCTAATGGCTATCAAGAAATTAAAATATAGGAAAAGATATTCTATATTCTGATATCCTATATTATTTCTATAATATAGAAACCCTGTAAGTTTGTAATCACTTAACACTAACAGTTCATAAATAAAGAATGTTTCTTTAACAAATCACTTCAGAGCTATTTTAACATGTAATTCTTAACAATTCTAATACAGGACATCTAACAGTTTTTAGTAAATGTTCTAAAATTTAAAGAATTTTATACAAAACAGTATACCATCAATTGCAGTGGCATTTTAGTTTTGGACAGATGAAAGTCACTCTGGGATTTATTGCTGTTAATCAGGTATGAGAATCATCTTTACTACAAAACTGATCACTGTAACTTCAACAAGAAAAATTACTGTTTTTTAATAAAAATAACTTACAATAAGATAAAAGTTAGAATATTTGTTAAAAGCTGTAATACCATGAGTTTTCCATAAAAATTACTAGTTCTGCCGTTTTGTGATGCATCTTGACTTAAATTTCAATTATAAATCTTTTTTGTCTGTTCTCTTGATAGACATAAAGAATGCTCAACTGTATAAAATTTTATATAAATTAAGCTTCTATAACAAAAAACAGCAAAAATATATACTCTAAAAGGATTATGTCAAATTACAAAACTCTGCTTCAAAGTTAAGTAAAACCTTATTCTGGAAAAAAATTTAATTGAATCATTAAAATATTTAGGTTTGAATCTTGAATCAAGCATTCTAATAAAAAAAAGGGGAAAAGAATATATCTGTCATAGATTACAGGAATTATGGATTCTATGGAATTAATCCATTTTAAAATATATTCACATAATTCTTAGGATATAATGAGCAATTTATATTTTTAAAAAATTATACTTTTTAAATATAAAACTGTTAATTAAAATTTTTACCATATTCAATAAATCAAGAAATTAATTTTTCCCTCATTAATTAATCAAAACAATGTAGCAATTTAATGTTATTTATTATTATAATAATTAATGGAATTTAGTAATTATATTTTTATATTTCTAAAATTACTGTAACTAATCTAATGCATTTTCGTCCAATCTCTTTAAATTTTGTCTTCTTTTTTGCATATTTTGAAATATGTTACCAAAAATACACTCCATGATTAACTAGTTGAGATAAATTCATTTAATGTAATACATAAATAAACATATTACAAATTAAGTATATTTAAATTAGATTCAGTTTAATTAATTTGATAATTATATGGTTCAAGCAAACCATTTTAAATATGTACTGTACAGTTAAATGTTATTAACAGAAATTGTTTTAAATTAAAATAATGCTTCTTATTTTATTATGCTAACAAAATAAAATAAATGAATGGTTTCTTAATTTTACAATACAGGTATATAACATGACATAATACAGTAGACTAAAAGAACTGAATGAATATAAAATAAATATAAGTTATACACAAATTTTTACAATGTTTAATTTTATTTAAATTTTTGACTTTCTGAAATGGTAAGGTTAAACCCCAGAACCCCATATGTATGTCTTTATTTAGTACTGCAATAAACAATAACTCTATTAAAAATTTACTACATTAATTTGGCTTAGAAATCACAAAGGAATTACTGTTAAATATATACAGTATTTATCTTTTTTAGTTTAATTCTTCATTTTATAATATGAATTTTTTATTTATTTATAAATTTCAATAATGTATACTATAAATGAAAAGTTATTTAGGTAAAGGTATCGTTACATTATTAAATGCATAACTTAAATGATTTCTATATGCAAATTGCAATTTATGACAAATTTTCAAAATGATTATTTCTGAAATTAGAATAAAGTATTACCTTCTGGAAATGAAGCAATAGTATTCAAAAATCTGAGGAATGTTTGAAGAATATCGCTTGTAGAATTATGAACTTTATCTAAAAAGTTTTCCTATAATGAAAATCATTTCCATATAAATAATTTTACAAATATAATTATAAAATAAATAATATAAAATACATCTTAACTTATAATAGTGTGATTTATTTAGTTACAATACTAATTTTGTATTTCTTTATTTCGAAAATTTAAAATGCTATATTAGAAATGCATTTTAAAACTTTATTAAAATCCTTATTAAAAAAGCAGTCTATAAGAGAAAATTTATATTNCTCAAAATTAAAATATAATTATTAAATTTAACACAAGATATCAGTTTTAGTTCAAATTTCAGAATATCTATTATGTTAATTAACCAAGTTTTAGCTTGATAGTTAATCTGGCCATTTCATATGATCATTCCAATTTGTAATGAATTTATTATAGTTTGTAATTTGTTCGTAATGAATACAAATAAACAACAACAAACCAACTTTAAATTTGTGTTCTATAAGTTTATAAATATAAACATGAATTAGAACAAACAATTTTTACAGTAAATTATTTAAAAATTATAAAATTTAAGAAAATTAACTAAATGTATTTAAAATTTTAACTGGAATATAATTAATATTATAAAATTGATAACATTAGAAACCATTTAAGAATTTTTAAGTTAACATAAAAATATCAATAAAAAATATAAAATTTTTAAAACTTTGAATCTTCACAAATAAAAGTAAATGACATTGAAAATTTACAAAAAGGATCCACACGGTCGCAAGTAATTTTTAAATTGATTAAAAACCATTAGAACTGAAGATCTGAAATGTATCTTGCAGAATGACTATCTCAAAGATTTGATTTATTCATCTAAATGAAGTGCATTCCTGTAAGATAAGTTCTTGAATTATCAATGTACTATATGCTTTAGAAATGCAATGTTTGAAGGACAGGAAGCTTCAACTAATTTATTAAATAAACCATTAAAACTACTGATTCTGCAACTAAAAATTTATTGATTCTGGAAAACAATATTGGCACAGCATTCTGAAGAAAATTTTTTACACTATTCACTTTCTAGCTGAACAAAGCAAGTAACTTTCTAAACAAATAACTATTGTTAATCCCTAAATTTTCACTAATTTCTCTCAAAGCCCTGTTTTTTAAGTATTTTTGACAATAGTCCACAGAATCAACAATCCATAAGGAATCACATTGCTCAATCAGTTTGATGAAACAAGCCCAAAAAGCAGTATTCCAACAGACTGCCATCTTTTTACATCACAGTTTTCAATAATCTTCATTAGTTGATGCTTACAACCAATGCAAAAAACACTTTCTTATTGGATGGTGTTGTCAAACTGCAGTTGTAACAGTTTGAAGGTGATTTATTAAATAACTGACAGTGAGCTGGTTGCAGTTGCTGGTGCTGCTAGAAAGAGCAATTGTGTAAACATAGTTTTAGATTTAGATTATCTGTAAACATCAGATAGATTACATTCTTCAATTTAAGTATAAAGAAATCAAAGAACATTTTTGTCCTATAACCAATATAATAAGTAAAGGCTTAACAAATTGTTTATTAACATTAGAACAGAGAAGTATGAATATTTATAATTTATATGGCTAGGGATATGACAATGGTGCAAACATAATGGTTTACAAAAAACAAAAGTTTAAAATAAATAGAAGAGCATTTTTAATGCCTTGTTGCATCTATAGTTTAAACCTTATCCTAAGTAACAAAATCAAACATCTTAAATGTATATTTACTTTTTTATAGTTCAAAAACTCTATAATTTTTCCCTGCTTCAACCAACTGATGGTATACTTAAAAGGGAAAAAAGTTATCAAATTTAACTCTAAAGTCATTAACTAATACTAGGAGCCTAGAATAATTTTAATTGTAAGTCCTTTAAGATATCAAGCCTCTGAAAATATAAATTCTTTCTTTGAAATAACTAATGAACAGAATATTTCTTTTAGCAACAATGAAAAAATCTAGTTATACTGCTTGTAAAATAGATTTAAAAAATTTTGAATTTATATCCATATTGATTTTATGGTATAATTTTTTAAGCAAAATAGCACTGTTAGCAAAGTTCTACAAATTAAAAATTTTATTTAGACATATGAGAGTTTAAATTATTTAAACTATTTTCTAAAAAAATAACAATCAGATAGACAATTTAATAATTTTTTGTAGAATATTTCAGGCTTTCTAAATATCTTCAATAAAAATACAAGAATTGGAATTTTAATAGTGGCAACTATGAAATTATAATCTGTGCAAAAAACACACATTTCAGATTTTTACTGTTCTTCAATGTAGTCACCAGCGGTGTGTAAGACCTGTTGCCAGCAATGTGAAGTTGCAGGATGCCAATAGCAGAGCCCGTTTGGTTGATCGCCTGAATAGAGCAATCTACTGCCTGAAGAACATCTGGATTAGTTCTGAATCACCTTCTTTGCAGTGATTCCTTCATTTTAGGGATCAAGTCAAAGTCACGGGGGCTTAAGTTCAGAGAATATGGTGGATGGTAGAGAACTTCCCAGCCCCAAAAACTGAACAATGTGGCCACACATTAACATGCACATGAGCTGATGTTGTCGAAACCGTGTTGTATTTGCTTATTGTGTACAGGCACAATGAAGTGACGTTTTTCTCAACACTGGGCTAGTTGAATCTTTTATTTAGTTAGAACGTTTTTTCCATACATCAACGTTTCGGGCATCAGCCCCTCTTCAGCTAACTAAATATATATAAAAATATTTTACAGGACACAAATAAAAACCAAAAAACTCACATAAATTCTTAGTAAACCATACCTCACTTCAGCATGGACACTGCACACACAGCAGAAATCAGACTACACTTAGGTTTTTAACATTTTCAATATCAATTTTTTATCACAATTTTAACTTTACAGGTTAAAAACAAAACCTTTTCTACATTTTATTACATAAACAAGATAAACTCTGCAGATTTTAAAAAACTAAAACTTACAAATTTCAAAAGTCTTTTTTTGCCACCTCGTCGACTGATCCGACAATTTGCATATAGCACTATGTGCCGTAAGTTATACTAGTTAACAAATTAATCGACAAACATTTGAAAAT